GAATTATTTTCAATTTTATATTTTAATTTAGATTAAATAAAAATAGTAAATATGGTTGAATATCCAAAAATATCAGAAATATTAGCAGATACAGGTTCAATAATATCTTGGATACTTTCAATATCATTTATTGTATCAAAATATAATGAAAATATTTGTTTATAAAAAACATAAAAAGAAGTTATTTAAATGTATTATAATGATTTTATTGATTTTAAAATAAAAAAGAATTTGTTAGGAAAAATAAAAAGTGTAAATTATAAAGAAAAAGAATATGATCCTTAAAAATCAGAAGAAATATTATAAAAATTAGATTAAATTGTTATTGAAAAAATGAATTATTTAAATTTATAAAATGAAGTAGCTAAGTAAATATTTTTTATTAAATTTAATTTAGATTATAATAAATTTTATAAGAACATTTAGGATTAGAAAAAATTAAAAAATATTTAGAATCTAAATCTAAATTAGAACTTCTTTTTGATAAATTAGGTGTACCTGAAAAAAAAATCCAGTCTGTTAATTAAATAGTAATTTAATTAAAACTAAAAAGCTTCCAACTGATTAATAATGCATGAGGGCTTCTTAATTATAGGTGAATTCCGAAACAGAAACATTTTAATAAATGCAAAATACTTTAGATCAAGAATTAGAAGAAAGAATTGAGCTATTAGCAAATAAAAATATTAGATAGATATAAAAACAAGGCCCTTAAAACCTTTAATAAAGTTTAAATATTAATTTACAAGTAATAAATCTTGAATAATCATAATTGTCGTCTCTGAAATGATTATTGATATTGAAAAACAAAAAATTTAATTGTATATTTCACATTTTTCTTAAGATTTAATATAATGGTTATCTTCACAATTATCTTTAGAATTCTAAGTCTACCATAATCATAAATTAATGGAGATTGATGATCAATTTTCAAAATACATACATAGAAAAAAGAAGAGTTCTTCTAGGTTTCAATTTATTACAAGTTGAGTTTTTTTATGTAGAATATTTTTATATTAATTGCTTGAGATTATGATCAAAAAACTGTAAAAACCTAAGTAATATTATTTATTTTTTATTTTCATAAATTTGATCTCAAAAAATAAATAAGATAATATAGAATTAAATTGATTTATATTTTAAATTTTTAAATGATCATTTAACATTAAATCAATTTCTATCAATCATCTTTGTTTTAGGCTACCTTAGTAAATCTTTAGATTGAATTTTTGAATTGATTTCCTTCCCAATAAATTTACAAACATTTTTCACATTAAAAGAATACTTTAATTTATGTGAATGAATCATTCTAATATTAATTATGTATTTTTACATTTTTAAAATCTAAATATTTTTCTGCTTCTTTTGAACTTATATAAATTACATGATCAAAATTGCATTTCACACAACGTGACAAAATTTTATTTTAATCAATTTAAAATTGTAATTCTTTTTGCATTTCATCAAATTATTATTCTAAATTTATTAAAATATATTACCAGTATTTAAATTATCTGATAATAACAGACAAGGTGCTTTTAGTTAAGGTTTTTCATAAAGTTTTTTATCCCTTGTAATAATTATTCTTTATTCAGTAATAGCTTATTGCTCAAGATTATAATGATCATTTTTTTCATTATACTCAGTATCAATTCCAAGATTTCTTAAAAAAGATGCCAATTTTTTTAGCATACAATCAACTAAAAATTTCATGTTTTTTTTATCATCGATAATCTACTAAAACTAAACATCATATCTTAAATGTTATCCTTTTTATATCTATAGAACTTTCTTCTATTTATTTTAAGTTTGATGTTGCTACATCATTTAAGGAAGCTTATCTATATCAAGCTATTTCAATTATTTCAATTTTAAATATAAGGCAGTGCATATATAAGCATCCATAGCTCCATAATATAATTAACATTTTCGTAGAGGTCTTCTTTGCCAATTAGAAAAACATTCTTTTTTTGATAGTTTTTTTCCAAATAATTAATATACTTAATTTGCTAAAGAAACATTATTTTTATTTTCTGGAAAAACTTCATTATATAAAAATGTTAAATCTACAATATTGCAAGGTTCAACTGATTAATCTAAATTCATATTTTAAGCCATAACAGTAAAATCATTCCAAACACTATGACCTATTTTAATTTTATCACTTGCAAAATAGTTGTTTAAGAATTTAAGCAATTCTTATTCTTCTCTAAGATTATATATATCAATTATATAAATATTAGTTTCAGTTGAAATTTACATTATTGCTACTCCTCCTACAGCAAATTCATCAAAATAATGGCAAAATTCAGTATCAAAACCTGTAATTTATGAATTTAAGATATTATCTTTTATAAGCAATAACTTATCAACTGAATCTATGATTTAAATATCTTCTTCATTAATATTGAAATCAGAAAATTAAATATATTCTGATGGATCTTATTTATAACAAATTTATTCAGTAATTCCAAAACCATCATATTTTAACAGAGGATTTTCAAGAAGTTCTCCTTTTAATTTATAATGGTCATTCAATCCTTATCGAATAGCAATTGAATAAGCTTCATTTATTTTATTATGCTCTAATAATTTATCAATCACATGATGAAGCATATCAGGATAACCTTCTAAACGTTCTTCGACTCTCTCATATGGTTCTTCTATTTTTGGAAAGTATATTCTATCTATAGCTTATCTATTTTGAATTTTAATTAATTGAGGATAATCATCTTTTTTAAGATTGTATTTTCTAATCAATTCTGTAGCAAATTTTTAATGATGTCTTTTATCTGATTAAGTTAGTTTAATCAAAAAATCTTTAAGTAAATCTGGTGAGGTAATACAAATTTTAGAAAAATCTTATACTGCATCTAATTAAATGAATTTATCAATAAACAATGTCATATTTAATTACTCTTTAAAAATGAAGATTAATTTCATTGCTTAAAGTGGTTTTTTATTTTACAACAAAGTCAGAATTTTAATTTATACACTTATGATAGATAAATTAATTACTCTTATATTTCAGAGGGTTTTATATTAAAGCCTTTCATATAATCTTCAATAAAATCTAAAGGGATTAATTGCCATTTTTCTATTGCTAATTACTTATTTCTGAAATCATTTAATTAGAGGAAGGTTTTGGTAAAAATTTCTTAAAGAAGAGTTTTAAGTGTCACATCATTTGATATTTCAAGATAGAAGATGTATGATTTAAATTTATCTTATTCTTTTGATAAAAGTTGATGAGCAATATTCTCAAAATTCTATTCACAAATAAATTAAAATTTTTACTTTTCTTTATTAAGCCGATTGAATTTTGAGTTATCGGAAGTAATCTTATATTTCTTACTAGTTATTTCTATGCACTAAAAATTACTTTGAGCTAATTACTTATTTCGAAAATTGTTTCCATATTAATTTAATCATTAATAACTATATAATTATTTTAGAGTCTTAAAGTATTATATATTCTTTAATAATTTTTAATAATTATAAATGTTACAGACTTTGAATTAGGTACCAAAATAAGTGCTTTTAGAATTTTATAACTTAAATAAATTATAAGTCTAATACCTATATGACGTATTAGAATATGATTTAGATTCACTTTATAGAGTACTATAGAATATAAAAAGAGCTGAATTGATTGATAAGTTAATAGAAGCTTTAAAATAGTAGGGATAAACAGAAAGTTTATTGAAATCAATGATATATGGTAATTTGAAAGAACTAAAAAACTTTTTAAAATAAAGAATGAGTTTTGAAAATTTGATAAGTTCTTTAGAGAAACTAAATGTAGAAGAGGAAAAGTAAAAAATTAAGGATACAGAGATATAAGAGAGACCAATAATATAATAAGATAGTATATTTTTAGAATTGCCGCTTTATGTACATTAGCTTGTAATGGATTTTCTTGATCCTTTATCTTTACATACATGTAGATTGGTTTGTTTAAAAATGAATGAAACATTTAATAATCCTAAAATAAGTGATAGATTTTATGAAAAGTTTTGCAAGGCATTATTTGATTAAATAGAAACAATTCCAATTCAATTGAGTCCATTTGAGAAAACAAGAAAATATATAAATGAGAACTTGCATTTATTTGAATAATAATTGTAACTAATAAATTAAATAAATTAAAATCCAAGTTAAACGATATGGAATTATTGGGGGAATACTGAATAGAAAATATTAAGTTTTTCTGAATTAACTAAATAATATTAATCGCATAAAGATATGTATGATTAATAATTGAGATTGAATTATTGTGGTATATATGCTATGAAGGAATATTATATAAAATATGGAGAGGCTTAATTTTAGTAATCAAGTGCTCCATGTTATAGAGTAGATTTTTTTAGATATATTCGATTTTGGAGAGATGGTACATTTACAATGTTCATTTCTTCAAAAAAATTAACAAAAGAGGAGATAATAGAATATTTTAAATATCCTGAGATTGCAGTGATGCCAAAATTAGGAGTTCAAAAGTAAATGTAAATAGAGGAGAGTTTTTTAAGGGGTGAATATAGAATAGTATTAGATGAAGTATATGTTATAGCAGCAAGATAAAGTACAACATTTAGATACATTTATAAAATGAAGAATTATTAGAATAAACATCCTGGAAATGTTTTATTAATGTAATCAGGACAGATGCATACATTAGGAGATACTTATAGATAAGATATAGTAGATTAATCTAAGAAGAAATATTTCATATATAAACATCTTGAAGAATTCAGAGATGAATTATAGGATGAATAATATGGTTGGAAGAATGTGGTTTATTGATTTAATTATTTTATTTAGAATTATAAAATATAAGTAAAATTATTATTTTAATTTATATAAATATGTCAGAGAACAAATAAGAATTCAATCCATTATTAATTGCATTTTATTCAGGTCTTGCATCAATGGTTGGTGATATGATTATGTTTCCTTTTGATACCATTGGAACAAGAATTAAAGCACATAAATCAGAATTCTTAGGAATGAAATAAGGATATGATCTAATTGTTAAGAATGAAGGATTTAAATATTTATTCAAAGGCTTTTCTACGACAGTTATGGGTATTCTTAAATATTTATAATTAGGTTCATTTATTCCTTATGGTTCATATTTTTTAGCATATGAATATATGAATTATTATGCAATCAAATTAACAAAAGGTTTAGAGAAAGATGGTTAAAAAAGTAAACTTAATTTATTGATTCCACTAATTACTTCTCCTTTAGCTGAAGCTTTATCTGTTATAAGTATGTATGTACATCTCTTATCATATAGCCTATATTCCTTTCGATACTTTAAGAACCAGAATGTAGATGAATGTTCCTGAATATAATTATAAAGGAGTATTTTCAGGATTAATGGAAATATCTAGAAAAGAAGGTTGGATTCGTTTATTTTAAGCATCCTACTTATATATGGCTTCTGTTGTTGTCTACACAACATTCTAAATGTGGTTCTACGAACTATTAAGATATGAAATATTAAGATAAAGGACTGATCTTACAATACATAATTAATCTTTAGCCATACATCAATCTATTATTGCAACAATGATTTCAACTGCATTAGCTGCAGCCATAGTTAATCCTGTTGATTTCATCATTACTAGATACTAACTTGTAGATAGCAGCTAATAATAATTATCTATTAAATCTTTAGTATTAGATGCTTGGCATTAAGAAGGAAAAAAAGCATTTCTTAAAGGACTAGGAACTAGAGTCTTTCAATATAGCTTATTTTCAATCTTCTATTTTCCAGTTTATGATCACTTTAAATCAAAGTATGGAATTACACTAGCCGATTGATTTATAAATTAAAATATGACTTTTTATTATGTATTTTAATTAAATATTAATCATAATATATTATTAATATAAAATTCATCCCTCATTCAGTAGGGGACAATATCAAAATTCATCTGATATTTATTCTGAAGAGTTAGAGTCAATATTTAAAAACTATTCTTCAAATATAAAAAGTTTATCTATTTTCAACATATATATATACTTAAAGAATCAGATTTTACACTTTTTGAGTATGTTTCATCATATGGTTATCCTTCTTAATTAATTCTTTCGAAATCACTTTGATTTAGAATCATTGATTTCAAATCAGGTGATAATACATGATCATTATCAATACAAAGGCAATTTGTAAAAGGATCCTCTTCCCTTTTTTATAGATTGTGAATATCATCTAAAATGTATGCTTTCATGTTTTTCACAATTTAAAAGTTATCTGATGATTTCATGTTTTAATTATTAGTTATTGCTCAATAATTAAATCTTTTTTTTCTTAAAAATAATTCACTCTAAAAGATTTTTTTAAAGATGCACCAAAAATAAATTTTCTTGAATGATAACGATTAAAAAAAGAAATTAAGTGTTCCAAGATTCCTTTTAAAATAAACAATCAAATTTATGAGAATTTTAAACAGTAAATTATCAATATAAATTTCAGTATATAAATTTTACAAATTTTAGTAAATATTCTTTCTCCCAAGTAATTTCAATATATTCTAATAACTTAAAAAACAATTTAAAAATAGTGTTTATGCTTTAAAATAAAGTATATATAAATCAATATAGATGTTAATAATTGTAGCGAAAAATGGCATGATAAATAAATACAATTTATTAGTCAAAATTGATTAAAATCTCAATTTTTCTCATATAAAATGAACTTTTTTTTTATGGGATTTTCTGTTATCTCTTTTATTACTTATACTTCTGTATGATTTTTTCAAAATTCCTTATGATTTAAAGCTTTGATTTTATGTCGAAGTATCTGTTTATTATGAAAACTATTATACAAACTTCAGCATTTCTGCTTCATTTTTTTACACTAAGTCAGATTTAATTCTTTTGTGTTATGAATGGTTAGTAGATTACTCATCTTATGTTCTAAATTTAAATTTCACGATTACTCTGGATGAATATCATCTAAATTATCTGGTATAATCTATTTTGCTATACTTTTCTTTAGAAAGTAGGTTTTGATAAATTAAAACTAATCTTGAGGATAATCATTCATTCAAGTTATAATAAATAATTGTTTTTAGAGTAAATTATAATTAATCTTTTTTTTTTCTATTGACATCAGTATTAATGCATTGAATTATATGAATATAATATTTTATTTCAAAATTTGGTAATAGTAAAATAGAAATAAGATGAAACCAACTTAAGATTCATTTTTTCTACTTCACTTAATATTTATTGATCGCAGTTTAAACAATTTATCGATATTCGAATGTACAACGAGATGGAATAGAGAACGAAACCCTTTTTAAGCTTTAAGTATCTTTTTTATTGCTATTTTTTAATAATCCTTTTGGCTTAATAGCTAAATCAAGTTGTTCAGTCAAATCATTATGTTTATTATGTTTGATAATGTTTTTAGTTCCTTAAGTTTTGGATCTTGTTCTTCCAATAGATTCTTGTTCATCATTATTACAGGAAAACTCATTTTCATCTTCTTTTTCACATACTAAAACAGGAGATTGTTTATGGAAGTATTATTTTATGTGGTTAAATTTGTTATGTTCAATTCCATTTGAGATTGTTTTAAAATGATATAATTTAACTAGGCTTCCATTATGTTCATCTTTAAAAATAAGACTATCATTAATCAATGAAAGAAATACTTAAGAGTTTAATCAAGCATAAATTTAATTTTTGATAAAATAATTTATATTCAAAGTTTTCAGAATTCAATATTGTAATGCAATGATTAATTACAATTACTATATATAGTTGATGAATCTTATCGTCTGCGAGTCTAATTTTTACACAAACTCATAGTTTAAATAAACTAGGTTGATACTCTTACCTATTCTGAAACTAAAAATCTAACTGATTTTATTTTTTTAGAGGAATTTGGAGACTATGAATCTCTATTATATCTACTTTTTTTTATTATCCCTTTTTTTGCTTAATTAATTTGATTATTAAATATTGGTGGAGAAAAGTTAATTTTTTTGATACTTAAAGTCTTATGTTGTTAGAATGAAATTGAATTTGAAAAGAGCCTATTCATCCTATTAGTCGTAGGACAAGAATTATTTCCTTTAGTAAATTCATAACATTCGTAAGTATTTTCAGACAATGCTTACATAGGACTGCCTGGATCAGTGGGTTATTAAGGATAATTCTACTCTTTCTCTAATTAAATTTTAATTTTGTTCGTTTCTAAAATCTACTTCTGAGGAAACCCATAATTTAAAGTTAAACTAGTTGAATGTTTTTGTTATTCTTTTTCATCAAATGAACGAAGAGTTTAAAATATTATCATAGAATTTTGGGGTTATGAACATCTAATTCCCATTATGATTATGTTTGGATGTATTTTTGTTATCAATATTATATACTTTATAAAAATTCTAAAAAATTCTTAGAAATCGACATTTATTTATTCGAAGAAATTAAGAATAATAATCATTTAGAAAAGATTAAAAATTTTTATTCTCTAAAAGGAGATAAAACAGAAGTTAATCCGTTTCTCTCATCCTCTACCTAATAAGTTATATTGTTTTTATTGAACATTCATCAAAATTTAGTCATTTTTATTTATATAGAAAATAGAAAATTTTTCAAATTTCTTAAAAAGTCTACTCAAAACTAGAATTTCACTTCTATTAATGTATCGGCATATTGATAAAGTTATTTTTGACAATTAAAATTGAAAATTGAGTTTCAAAATATATATTATTATAGTTTTTTTAATAGAAAATCTATATGTTCATTAAAAATTATGGGTAATATATATAAATGGGAAATATTAGGGTAATAAGAACTTAATAAATGAAAAAAAAACTTAAAAACTATTTATTAAATTAAAGAATTCACAGAATTTGTCATTTAATTTTTATTATGAATGTTATGTTGGAATTTCTATTTAAATCTAATATTAAATGTCAAATATTTTTATAACCAATTCAAGATTATTCAATAATAAATAATCAGAAATAATTGTTATAGGTTTTTAAAATATAATGAAATTTTGAATTTCATTAATAATTCATTGCAAAATCTTCAACTAAGAGATTATCATAATGTGATTCACTTTGTAATTTTTCTTTTGTAAAATCAATATTAAAAAGGAGTCGCATAACATCTTAAAATGTTAATGTATTAATAAGATTTCCAAAGAGATCATCATAAGCTTAAGTGTGTTCCTAATATGCTTTGGCTAAGTTATCATCCATTTTAATGCAATTTTAATATTTGAAAAATTCATTGGTTATAGATAATCCACACAATAATAACACTGTTTTATGTAGTGTAAGTGTTTTTCTCCATTTCATGAAAACAAGAGAAAAACAAAAAATGGGAACAAGAGCTAATAATTAATTATATTATATTAAACCTGTGTTATGCACATAGAATTTAAAGAATTTAGGCAAGGATGATTTATTTAAAGATTATTATTAATTTGTGAAATATAATTCTTAAAGTTTATTTCCTATAGCAATCTTCTCACATAGATTAAAGATTGTAGCATCTAAATACTTATAGTCATTTTTAATTTTATCATATTTAAGTATAGTGTCTTAATCTTCAAGAATTTGATCATCATAATTTTTAGGAACATATTCTGTTTTGCTAGTTAATTATTTGTATTTTCTTGTGTCCATTAATAAAAAATAAATTCATTCTTTTTTTGTTATTTTCTATAATAAGAAAAAGAAGAGAGAGAAATAGAAAATATATTTTAGAAATACTTTTTTGGATAAATATTGATTTAAATCACAAATTTAGAAATCCATGATAAGGATGTTTTTATATTTGATTGTTTCTCATAATAAAGTTTTCAAAGGCTCTCATAATTCTTATTGAATATTCTTCATTATTAACATCAATAGGTTTAACAAGAATTCCTATTAAACCATTTTTATGAGCTAATACCATATCTGTAAATAGTCTATCTCCAATAACACATATTTGATGTGATTTAATATCATTATTAATATAATTTTGCTAAATTTCTTGAAAATTGAATGGTTTTTTAGAAAAAGTTTTAGCAACACAAAGTCCTAATTAAATAGAGTCTTTGATTTATGAATTAGAAACTAAAAGTACTTAATCAAAATCTTATTTTAAATTTGTCAATAATTGTTCATATTAAGTTTTGGTTTCTAAATGTTTTGTTAATGTATTATCTCTATCAAATAAAAGACATTTAATTCCTAATTATTTAAGTTTATGAAATGGAATTTATTGAACACTAGTACAGTAATAGTGGGGATAGATAGATGTTGAAACAATGTATTAAAATAAATTTAAATAATTCATTTATTATTTTTATGCCAATCATTTAAATCATCTTCATCATCATCTTAGTATTTATCTGTTTTCAATGTTTTCTATTTGATTTATTATTAAGTTAAGTATTCTTATCTGATTTCTTGATATTCTTATCTTTTAATTTCATTCAAATCAATCCAAGTCGGAAACTCCCAAAATTTAAGTATTTAATCTTTACCATAAGTAATAAGTTTATTAGTATCTTAAAGATAATAAACTAATGTAATCATTACATCTAATCCATGAGCTGACAAAGAATCTAATATAAATAATATCTAAAATTACATATTGGACATCCAGTTTACTCACTAATAACAGTAACATTTCCTATAGTATCACCAATATATAAATGATGTCTTTATTAACAATATGATATCTTTTTTGTTTTTTAATTAGTTTAAATAGTAACTTTAGCTTTAGAATTGATTTCTCTTCCAAATTGACCAATATCTATTACTTATAATTATCCTATTTCAGATGCAGCAAATAGAAATCCTTAATTATTATTAATAGCTAGATCTACTATTTTAGATGATGCTTAACAATCAACTCTTCTTATATATTGAACATTTTCTTTATTGATATCTAATATAAACACTGATCCTTTTGAATTGCCTATAAATGAAATTTAACGATGTTCACAAACTAATAAACAAGTCAACTCACCTTTTAATAACAATTCTACCTAAAATTATAATATATATTACAATCTTTGTGTTTCAAATAATCTCTATAAGTTATAACAAAAGTTCCATCTTAACTAATAGAATAAATAACTTTTTTTAGTTTATTATAATATACTCCATTTACTCTCATCTTGTGCATTTAATAAGAAGATGTATGTAAAGGTGCATTTAAATCTGAATCTAATTAATATACGATGATTTTTCCTTTTTCAAGTCCTACAATCAATGCTCCATCTGAGTAATGTAAACATTAAGCCTTTTATATTGTTGAGATATACTTAATTGACAAAGCATTCTTACCATCTTTTTATCATCTAATTATCTTTCAAACTAAATAATTCTACTAATCCCAGTGCTTCAACAATCTAATTTTAATTATTTTACATATAAGCCATCAATTATTTATATCCTTCAGTTTGACATGAGACAATAAATAATTACTCTTTAAAATGTTAAATAAAAATCAATACCTAATTCAGGTATATACTAACAATTCTTTATTGTTTGATTATGCTATTAAGAGTTTATTATTTTTGGTTATTCAAAAACATATTTGGGAGCATATTTCATTATTTCGAATAATTCACAAAATACTGGACATGTAACTATGTCTAGTCTTTCAGAGATTGAAGAGAGATAAAAATTTAGTTTAACTCTTCTCTTTTCGAATTAAATTGTTGTAGTAAGTTTGCTTAAGGTTTTACCTGGAAATTTAGGTAACCTTTGAAATTATGCTCTTAGAATGGTATCCAAATCAAATAAATCACTATATCTTAGATAAACTTAATATACTTAATACCTTAATTCTAATCTCCAACCTGTTACACCAATCACTTATACATCAATACAATAGAGAATTACACCTTGTAATTAGTCATATTATTTAAATGTTGGAACAGATAACTACATCAAATCATGAATTTACTTTACAAAATGAGTTATTTTCCATTTACAAATTATTCAACTATTTTATAAATACTTATATTTAGTCAATAATTCATATAATTATAATCCTCTCTAATAGAGTTCTTCATTTTAATGAACTAATAAAGCAACTTCTAATCCAAAAGATAGTTTTTGTACTCTTTTTGAATGGAAATCAATTCTATAAACAAAAATTAAGTTTTTATTTGATTCAAAGGCAACTTCCATTTCTCCTTACTACAAACATTTTTATTAGAGTAGTTCTTCATGATTCTGATAATGAGTGGCTGATAATACAATGGGTGGATTTGGAGTCATTTACATAAAGTATTCTAAAGCAGATTTATGGAGATTAGATCCAACTTAATATTTAAAAGCTATAAAAAATAGATATTCTTAAATTACTTTTACCAATTTCATCCATCAAAACTAAAGATCTACTTGAAACTTTAAGTGCAGAACTTAATTACATCAATTCTAAATTAGTCATACTTAAATTTGATTATTACTTACCTTCACAAGGAAAGAGTGCTTAAATCTCCTCTAATAAATATGTATCTACACTCAAAGCAGGAACAGGTAATCCACAATGAACTAAATAAATTATGATACCAATTTATCTAATGAAAACAGACTTACCAGAAAAATTAGGACCTACAATTAAAAATATTCTTTTATCATTAAGAACAAAATCATTTGGTTAAAATTCAACATTTTATTTCTTAGTTTATTCAACTAATAAATGTCTACCTCCTTATATTTTCATTTGATTATTATTATTTAATTTAGGAATACATAATCGCATTTATGTTATGGCTATACTTAATCCAATATAATAATCAATTTCTCCTACCAATTATTCTATCTATTATAATTATTCAGAATAAGATTATATTTATTTCACAAGTTCAATTAATATCTTTTCTTACATAGATATAATTTAATCTTCTAAATCACCGAACTATTCATCTAAACTTAAAGTATAGGAAGTCTTAAACACTACATAATTTTCTGCATCTCTCTCTTAAACCATTTCCCATCCAAGACTCTATACTTTATCTTCAACATTTAAGTTTGATTAAACAATTAATTTATAAGAACCATTTACATGTTTCACTTCTATTTATTAAGTCTTAACACCTACTAATGCTAATTCAGATTAATGTTTATTTTTTATTAATTAAATCCTTGATTTTAAATTTATTTACAAAGATAATAATTACTCCAATTAAGGATATCTTTATTCCTTTATCTACACATTTGATTAATTAAACAATAAAGAAGTTTCAATTATATCTGATAATTAACATATACTTTCTAAATTTACATTACTTAAATCTTTCAGTAATTAACATGTCTATTATTATGCTCTTCTATCTATCACTACAAGTTATTTAACTACTGTTACAAATTCAATCAAATACTACAATTAAGTAAACAACTTTGAATATGGTTCACTCTTTTCTTAATATGTTGACAATACCTTCAACACTACATAACAATATTCTTAATACCCTAACTAAACGATCCAATCTTAGATGGCATCTTTATAAATTTCTAATTAGAAGGTTATAATGATAACTGTTAAAATATTTATAGATACTATAATCTTTTATTTATTATCTAGTATGATGATATGGGATTTTTCAAATATTCCAAAAATATCTTTTTTGCATGTGCTGTTTAAAAGTATTTCTCAAATAACTACTGTATACTCAATTATTTATTTTCCTATTTTAATATTCCTAATTAATTTTATAAACTATCATTAAACTTCAATTTACAACTTTTCTCATTTTCCTACAATTAATTTATAATCATGTCTAAATTCATTTTAGTTAACACTGGCAATGCTGAACACAAATTAATATATATTTGTCTATCTATTAATGTTTCATTATATAACTCTGGATAACTAAATCCAACCTATGCTAATTTATCCTATATATTATAATCTTCAACCTACATAAAATTACAGAATTTAACAATCCCTTAAATTATACATTTAATAGTCATCAACAATTATTATGGAAAATTTATAGAATAATATATCATCAATGTATCTATCTAGTACTCATTCAAAAATTATCTAATCTTTGTTACTTAACTTTAATCGATCGTCACAACTAATACGTTCTCTTTCATTTAATATGTGATACCAATTTAAGGTTTATAATAATAAAGTGATATCTTATAATCATCTACATTGTTTTCATTAAAATGTAATTTTTAGAACTGCTAACTAAATCTAATGCTTTCTAGATCTTCTTAGACGAAATTATTCATTTTTTAAAGTGGACTTAACATTCTACTACCAATTAAAACATTATTTGATTAATATTATTATTATGCTTAATGTTGTTAATATTATTATGTTTAAACATTTTAAAAATTTGGTTTTTAATAATTAATTTCAGAACTAGAATTTAAGTGATTAAATTTTTAAATTTAAGGGGCATTCCTGTAATTATTACCATTCTCCATTTCAAATTTGTAATCTTCAAATATAGATGATTTTCTTAATCCACAATCTAAACTAGTTTATATTTATTATGGAGGTTATCTAATTTTTCTATCACTCAAATTTGATTCAAATCTATATTTAAAGACAGAACCATTTGAATCCTTCAATAAACGATCTGGTTATTATTGCTATTTGAGTTCCGATTGATATAATTAAGATAGGCTTAAGTTGACTGGAGTTCGAAGTGGTTTCATAATAAAAATTAATTAATTAGATCTAAAAATACTTTATTAATAATTTAATTATTAAGAAGAAAGCCATTCAACTACATTAGATAATGTGATATTCATAAATTATATATATAAATTAAAATTTTATTATGAACGTTGCAGATAGAGGAATGCATATAATTCTCCTGTATTTGAGAATGAATGCTTATACAATTCTATCAATTTAAATGCTTACTAAGGTTAATCAAATATGTTCAAGTAGCAATAATCTAAAATTTAGATGATGGAGAATTATTTTTATCTGTCTCTCTTAAAGGAGCAAGTTTCATGATAATTCTTAATTTAATTGCATTTATTTATGTGAAGGCAAAAGAGAAAATGCAAGTTTCTGATAATTTTTTGTTAGCCTTCTTAAACATTTGCTGGGGGATTATAGAATTTATGAAGATTTATCAAACAGCTGAAATAAATATAAATGAATGTGAATATATAATTAATATTCAGCAAATAACATTTTACTTTTAGGCTACAACCGCAGTATGGGTAATAAAAAGATATTGATTTAGGTTATATTGGCATTTTTTTTCAGTTAAATTGTGATAAGAATAACTAGCTTACCAATTAATTGTGTTTCTTTATATTTGATATTTGTCAATTAGAAGCAAAGTTGTATGGAAGATAACATTTATTATTTAATGATTTTTTCAACAGTGTGGCTAATCATATTAGGAATTCCATATAATTTTTTTATGAGTGCTAATAAAAGAGTATCAGGTCCATTTTAATTCTTAACAACAATTGGAATTCTTATTTAGATACCAGTATGTGGTACTTAATACATGTTTAAATATAGTATTAATATATCTGTATGGAATGAATTATAAAGATGATGCATGTCAAACTGCATATAGCGGTTAAGAAATATTTCTGGTAATATCTGTACTACAATTAGTGTTACTACTAATTTACTTTATATATTACAAAGTAAAATTTATTATTATTATCAAAATAGAGATTTGAAAAAGAGAAAAAGAATGAAGAAATATCAAAAGAATTAGTGAATTTATCCACAACGACAGCAAATACTAAATTATCTAGCACTAAGTATACCATAAAAAAATGAAATTTAAAATTAGATATTCTTTACTCTTAAAAGTTAGATATAATAAATTATGGATTATTGTCAAACTTTTTTGTCTTTCTCTTTTTCCATCATAATTTCATCAATATCTTTTTTTGGATAGGTGTACTTGGTGATTCTTTTTTTAGTTCTGTCTTTGGTCCAAATTTTTTCATTTGTCAAATTTTCTTCATCTATTTCACCTTCTTTTTTGTCAATATCTTTGTGTAAGGAATAGAATTCTTTGATAAATTCATCTGCATTCAACAATTCTTATCTTTGATATGTCATTTAAGATCTACCTAGTAGTTAAATTGTAAGTTTGATTAATTTATCTTTCAATTTTCAATTATGGAATCGGTTAAGGTTATTCAATTTCGCCAATCTTCTCAAATTCATACTCTAACTCAATTTTAGGTTATTTTTATTCATCTTTATTTCCATATTATTCTGATGTGTCTATATATTCACGACTTCTAATATTTCCAATAGGTTTCATAAATTATTCACACATATCCCTAAACTAAAATTAATAATAAATTTTACCTTATAAAACACATTCCTACATATTAATTCTTCATTTTGTAAACAAACAGTATTAACAAATATTCTTTTTTATTTTTTAAGAATAGTTTATGCTGCAATTAGTTTGACTTATAAATCTTAGAATGTAATTTTGGATCCAATTTTAATATTTCTTTATGGTGATAATTTTTTAAAAGGAGGTGAAATCTCTGTCAGAAATCTTTAGGCTAATTCATCAGAATAATCACATATTCTACAGATAGGAGGTTCAACATTTTCATTAATAAGAATGATATCTTTCTCTTATTAGATTGCTTATTCTTTAGCTTATTAGAATGGCATAATTCCTAAGAGTTTGTATTTTTCATCAATAACTCTTACATCTCCTTAATATTGAATATTATCATTAGTAGGATATGGTTTGGCTTTAAGTAGTGCTGACACTCTTTATATAATAATAGGATTGAATTTGTAAATTCCGAAACAATATTTCAATATCATGTTTGTGTAGCTGTATATAATAAATTGATAAATAAATATATTGCCAATATTATTTTCATTCATTCACATCATTTTAATTAAATGTATGCACCTGATTTAAGAAGAGGACCCACAACAACAACATTTCTAGGAACAGCTACTTATATCACAGAACCACAAGAATAAAATAAAGCCACAACTATATTAAAAATTGAAGAAGCATAACCACCTAATACTTTTGATGAACTATACACACCTCTACCTAATTAAGTTGAATTCAAAAAGATCAACACTAATGTTTTAAATAGTATGAAATTCCCCTCCAAATCTAATGATAAAGAAGATGGTTTATTAGAAGTAATAACTAAATAATATTAAAGGTAAAATCCATGTTTACTCAATGGTAGAAATACTTGAATCTAGAAGAACATAAAGCTGTTGTTTCTGATTCTTTTTGGTATGTTGTTACTAAATTCTTTAAAAGAGAAATCTAGCCTGATGAAACTTCTGAAACTTATCCTAAAATTGCATTCAACAAATTACCTAAAGAAGATTAAAAATTATTAACCAGAATATCTAGAAATTATATTAATTTATTCTTAACAATTGATCGTAAAGATGATAGACAATTATTTTTTAAGACTTATTTTGATATTTTAGCATAAAGTGTTTTTTATGCTTTATTTTACTCATTCCCTTTAAGTAGAAGTAAATTTAATGATGATTTGAAAAAGTAATTGCTAGATGAATTCTCCTATTTATTTACAGGTATAGAAATTGCTAATAGTTAAAAATATTTAAAAGAATGGAATCTTGATTTAGGAGCTGGAAATATATTTAAAAAATAAGCAGAATAAAAATTAGCTAAATAATAATAATATGAATAATCACTTCCACCAATAGTTTTGAGTTAAACAACTGTTAAGGCAAGAAACAAAAGAGTTATGGTACCAATCAAATGTAAATATTTATTAATCCAATTTTAGTTTCTCCTATTGTTTAAATCTATTTAGCTGAGAATAAATACTCAACAAGAAATCAAATTTAAGAATACAAAATGAAATTTACTGAATCTGAAAAAAATTAAGATGAACTTGAGTTAAAATTTGCTCGTTACATTAAATTAGCTGATTAATTAAAAGGTGAAGCTATTGCCATGAGAGATGATAATGAAAATAGAAAGAAAAAAATGAAATCTGAAATTAAAACAATCAAATAAGAAACTGTCAATCATCATAAAAGATTAGAAAAGAGGAAAGCTGAAGAATTAGAAAGAGGAGCCCATGAATATGCCAATTACTTAGTATCTATGTTAAATGCAGGAATTACTGTAGCCAATTTAGGAGTAAGTAAATAAAAATGATACTATAATCAAAAATATTTATATCCTTCAAATAAACATTAAACGCTCTTTCTTCTTAGTAAAGTCGAGGCTTCTTCCTAAGGTTCAGAATCAGCAGATATCTGGCTTTAATAATCAAAATTGCCATCTATAGTCTAAATCATTATTATATGTTTACTCCAGGTATATATTGTGCTTTAATTTCTTTGTTTAATAATTTACCCCAATTATAATTACATAACCAAGGATGCTCAAATAATTCATGAATACCTTATGCTCCTAATCTTTATTGAGGTTTACGTATCAATAACTAATTAATTTATTATTATTCTTACTCGATTTATAAAATCTTAAACTTTGGCTGAAAATTTATCATCTCTCATCTAAACTTATTTTGATAATATTTATTCTCTTATTTCTTATCTGTTTCTACCATTATAGGGACGTTTTCCAAGTAGTAATTCAAACGCTATGACTCCAACAGCATAATAATCTACTGGAAATGAATGTTCCATTCTACACATAACTTCAGGTGCCATATAACCAGGAGTCCCTGAAGTATCACTAGGAGAAGAATCTCTATTTAATCGAGCAACTCCAAGGTCAGTCAATCTAAGATAACCGTCTTTATCAAAAACTAGATTCTCAGGTTTGATATCCCTATGAATAATACCATTTTGATGTAAATATTGTAACGATAATAGGATACAAGAGACAAAAAACTCTATTTTGAATAAATGTAAATATTTACTAGTTTATTCTTCAGTAAATCTCTTTTATCTACCAATGTGATATCGAAGATCTCCTCCTCTAAGAAGATCAAGAACCAAATATAGATTTTCTCTATCTTAATAAGCATAGTGCATGTTAACAAGGAATGGATGTTTGAGATGCTCGAGTAAGTATTTCTCATTCATGACTGAATTAACAGATCGTTTAGATATGATCCTTGAGTTAATGTATTCTTGGTTTACTTGGCTTTAATCATTTCTTTTAATGCAAATTCTAATTTATTGGCCTTCATTTCTACTCTCCATACTTTTCCAAAACCTCCTTTTCCAATTACATATAGATATTTGAAAGAGTGTTTACCAATAACTAGATGATTTATATGTCAATATGATACTATTATCTTTAGGAGGTGATGACTCTACTGATGTCTTTCTAGTTCTGGTATAATTATTTGTTGTTGTATTGGTGGTTGAAATATTGACTGAAGCTCTTCCCAAGTGATTTGATTATTGTCTAGATATAGATCGATTGAATAATTAAATTGGCTTTGGTTATTCAACAGTTCGTTTGGAAACAGGAGAATTCTCATCTACAACAATCGAATTTTTCATGCTTAGCATTGAAGAAGAACGTTTACGAGCACATATTAAACAGTTCTTCTAATTACATTAACAGTAGGACTCAACTTTCTTAGAGATTTTAAAGCGAATTTTGTTTAGATTGAATTATGAAGGATTTTTGTTTGGAATTATGTCTTTGAGAGAAACATTCATTAATTATAAATTGCATTAGAAATCATAAATAAAATTAAATTTATGTCATCTGCTCTGTTTGCTATAGGTTGTGGTTTAATTGTTGTAGGAGGAGGAACAAAACTATTGATTCGTACCTACAGATAAATCAAAAACAAAGAGTTTTTCAAAGCAGCAGAAACGTCAAGAGCATTTTATAAAGGAACATTCTCAACACAACTTACTAGAAGAGAAGCTTAATTGATTCTTGGTGCTAGAGAAGGCACTACTTCAGATCAAATTAAAGCCCGTCATCGAACATTGTTGATGCTCAATCATCCAGATTAAGGAGGATCTACATATGTGGCCACTAAAATAAATGAAGCCAAAGAGTTGTTACTGAAATGATTATATCCACGATAAATTAATATATATGTGTACAAATTAAATAATCATATGAACTCAAATGATGATGATTTATACTTAAGTATCTCTGAAGAGAAGGATTTATACAACTACAGTGAATGGGTAGCTATTCTCTTGTAGGATTATGAACCCTATAGATATTAAGATAAATATGATAAATTGGTTAACTAATATTAGAAGGATATCCTCTTTTAATAGATGATCTGGATTGTTCTCAAATTAGATAAAAATAAGAATACATTTGATGATCTAATTGCTGCTGCCATACCTGGAGCAAAAACTAAAGGTTATGAAGCTCCTATTGAGAGATTTCCTAAATAATAAGTTATGGTCTCCAAAAAAGTTCTTAAGTTAAGAAGGAAACTCTAGAATTACAATGTTCAATTCGATTTTGAAGATGACTATCCCTTACCTAATATTACCCAACCTTTTGAATTCAAATTTGATGTCAACACAATTTTATAGCTCATTTTATAATGAAATATATTTATGCACTAATTTTCACTGTTAATCAGTTCATAATTAATTACCCTTTTCTAATACATTTATATATCTCATTCATTCTTAATACCTTACTTATACATTAATTATATTTTTAAATTATGAATTCATCATAAAGAAGAGATGGGGTTTTCTCATTTAATATGCTTAATCCTCAATTGAGCTATAAGGTTGATAACAAATGGAGAAAGGATGTACTTAAAGATGTCAACATTTATGTTTCTGATAAAAAAGATAATGTTAACTTGGATCTTCCTGAATCATTACCTAAGTTAGAAAAAGAAAGGGAATGGAGTGATTATGGCATTCAAGAATTACTTGGCAAATTCATTGATGGCAATAAAAAATTATGAGTGATATTTTGAATTTAATTTGTTAACACTAATAAATATGTAATATTAATTAATATACACATCAAAATCACTTTAAAATATTCATTTTGTATTCAATAAATTACTTTAAGTTTGTAACTGTTAACTTTAAGAATTTCCAATCATCTTTTCCTAAACATTTCTTTTCATTAGGCAACTGTGATTATAAATATTAGTATCCTTATGTTAAAAGATCAATGATCTTCATTTCAACCAAAAGAGCATTAAAATCTTCTTCTGTGTAAACATCGAAAAGACAATCTAATGCTTAAGCAGCCAACATTATATTAGCTTAACTCATTAATTTTAACAATTTTTATGTAACTAGCCGTATTGTTTCAATGTCATTTTTTACTTTACTAGAATATCTTATTTTCATGACTTCAACTATATGAAATAGTATATCTGTAGTTTCTGTTAATTCAGACAATTAAACTATAAATTATGCTGGTATTTGCAAAACTAATTATGGATTAACTTTTAAGAGTTTAATCAAAAGGATAAATTCTGATTATGCAAGCTCTTTTTTATCCTCATCCGATATAATCTCTACCTACAACATTGCTTATAATTAAGGTAAAATTGGCTCCACTGTTTATAAACAAACTAAAGGTTGCAAATTAGTTAATAAATTATTTCCTAAACTATTATTTATTTTTTATATAATTACTTGAAAATTAAAATAGTTAAACTCAACAAATCATCTGTGAAAGTTGTTTAATCAGTAAATAGTTTTTTTTGAATGACTCCAGAAAAATTAAAGAAATTCTTTAATACCAACTCTTCCAATTCAACTATAATATTTTTTTAGAAAAACTACTAGAATTTTTTGTTATTAATATATTAATCATCACTATCTTCTTCGTAAATTCGATTTAAATAAACCAATACTTAGATAATAGATTGAGCAGAGCATTTCCAAATTTATAGAGTATTAAGCAATCTTTCATCCTATTTAAATTCAGACTCTTCCTCCATAGTCACTTATTTCTAAAGAAATGATTCTATATTATTTAACTCTTAAAAAATATTTATCCTTATGACTTCATTAATTAATTAAAACATATCATTATCTAATCTATCAATGTTTAAATATGTTTAAAGAGTTAAGGCTTTTAATTTCATCTGATTGGCAAAGTGCAATTATTTAATTACATCATTTTAAAAAATTTACTCCAGATCTATCTTTTTTAAATTAAATTAAGGTATTTCTGTTAGAACTTGGAGTAAATTTAAAGCTTCTGAGATGATATCCTCATTATAAACTTTTTATAAACAATTATCCAAAATTGGTAATATTCTTTAATAAAGTGGCATTAATAATCCAACATCCCAAGTTTCAAAAATTTCAATAGCAAGGCTCAAAAAACTGGATAAAGTGTTTTCTTAAACAGGAAATAATAATAAAATGCCTAATAAACCTAAGTCTTTGAACTGATCTCTAACTTCAGAACCAAAATTATCACTGATTCGTAATACATTTTAGATAGCATTGAGAGCGTTGATGGCAACTTAAGGATTGTTGTGTCGTAAATATTCAATCAATCTCACCAATAACTCCTTGGTTACGATTTATTTGACTAGAAAATAGTGAAACTAGAGTAACATTGATCTTCAGCCACAATTTAATTGAGATTTGCAATGCAAGCTGTGAATTATTGTGGATCATCGGAGTCTTCAAATGTGGTCACTTTAGGGGTTTTCTTTATCTTTCTAATACGCTTCGACAAGGAGTTCATTTAAAAAAAATTATTGATTAAGATTATATTTCTTTTTTTGGATATATTAATATATTTCTATAATCATAGTATTGATTTTCTGTTGAAAGAATTTAGTAATTCATCCAATTTACTTTGATGTTGATTTAATTATAAGGGACGAGTTGGTGTTAAAAAAGACTTTCCGCTATTTTATTAAATAGTAGATGGTTTTGAATATTTGCTTTCAAAATCTAATTTTTTACTTTACCAATCTATTTAATTTAATTCTAAAGCAAGTGCAGCTAAACCATCTTTTTTATTACCATTAACTAATAATATACATTAAAAATTACTAGCATCAGACAAAAAATTCTTTTTTTTCATCAAATCAGGAGAAGTCTTAGTTGCTGAATTTGGTCTATGTTAAGTTAAAGAGAATGGCTTTTTTTCATTTGGTTCAGGACTTCTATATAAATCATCATAGCCAACAGATTTTCTTTTATAATTATCAAAACAAATATCATCTAATGGTCTTGTTTTTTGACTTGATTATTGTTACTCTTCATATTTATTATTAAATATATTGTCTTTAGTTGGAGTTAAAAATTTACTAAATATATTATAGATGATTTACTTTGACCATGAATCTCTAAGAGGTGAAGAGATATCAGATCTTCCATTTTATTATAATAATAATTTTTCATATTATTATAATTATCTAAGAAAACCATTGTTGGGATAAACTTACCATCTTTTTCTTTCAAGTAGTCTAATTGCATCTTGAGCACTCATATTGTTTTTCTTCATTAGATAAGCTGCAACAAGAGTAGCTGATCTAGAAATACCAGCCATGCAATGAACTAAGACATTTCCAGTCTATCTAGCTTTTTCTATAAATTAATTGGAGTTCTCAAAATGTCTGGCTATATTTTCAGACTCACAATCTTCCAAATAAATGTGCAAATAATTTTATAAGTATGTTTGCACTTCAAAAGGAATCTTATTCATACAGATAGAAAGAACTCCTTTAATTTTGTGTTTCTTCAGATTTTCTAAACTTGCTATAATATAATAAGTTAGATTAGATACATGCTGATTCTATATTGCCTAAATAGAGAGATCCTATACTGCCATTTTCGATTATACAACTCATGTCATCTAATGGTTATTCAAATTAATTTATAGAGCTGAGGTATTATTTCTGTCTGATTGGTGAAAGACTGAACATTAATTAACAATAAAAATTATTGCATTTAATGAAAAAATTGAAATAATTGCCTCAATAATAATCAATGAGACGATCATCGTCTCTAGTAACTGTTCAACCTCAAATAGAATTAATACACTCCGAGAAAAATGCTTCCCTGACCTAAAGCACGTTCTTTAAGACATTTACTGAGATGCCTTAAATGTATTAAATTGAATGATATAGGGCTGCATTCACACATTAAGTTTCAAGAATACCTTCTCCTAAGGAACGTCTGTAAGTTTAATTATAACACAATAAAAAATAAAGAGAAACTATCATAAACTAAAGCAGAGAGCGATAAGAAAACGCTATGAGTGAGGCAATGTCTTTAACTCAAAAGACAAAATTTAGAAATTATTAAAAACTGAAGCGTAGAGATTAATCTCCGAAAAAGGCTATGGAATTAAAGCCATAGCAAAAGGGTATAAAGTTTTTGGAATATAATAAGTGTTCTAGCTTCCAAAATTGGATGCACCAATAGAACAAATAATTGACACTCCTACCCAACTTACATTTTACTTTGAATCATAACGTCTCACAAGAGATATCAGAACATTTAAACCATCATTTACAGAACAGGCTGCATTTACATTATTTAGTGATCAATTATATTTATATGGAGGAATTGGAGGAGATGGTGTTCGAAATCAAATGTTGAAATATGACATAAGTAAATTTAATGAGTATTTCTAAGAGTTTTAGATCTGGCAAGTTGTACAGGGAAATGGGGATCATCCAAAATAAGGAAGAGCAGGTTTATCTGTGGTTCAATATAAAAATAAATTCCTCTACTTTGGAGGATGTGGACAATTTAATCCAAAATTAAAACTAAGAGAATGTACAAACTCTATTTATGAATACACGGTAAGCACTATGACTTGGGAAAAAGTGCATCCTTAAGGAGATTACATAGAACCAAGAAGATAACACAGAGCTTGCCTAATTGGTTCAAAATGGATGCTCATTTATGGAGGAATTAATTCTAATGAAGAAGTTCTATCTGATACAGCTGTTTTCAACATGGAAAAGTAGGTGTGGAGATTATTTAAGGTTAAATCTCCTCCTGTAAGTTGTCATGCCATAGTTAATATCTCATCTCAAGGCAAATTCTAAGAAACTATACCTACTGATATTATGCCATTAGATAATATTTATTCTTTTGGAGGGAAAGATATTGATGGTAATTCTGTTAATCATGTACGTAAATTAACTTATTGTTCCTCTAATAATACTCCTCTGTCATGGGATATTGTAGAGACAGTGGGTAAAGGACCATATCCTATGCATAATCACACTATAGAATATCTCAGAAAAGTTTAAGGTATTGCTGTCATTGGCGGTCTGAGAGATTTCATTGTGAATGGAACCTTGGAATCAGATGAATATTTCATCTTTTATCCTAGTTTTAATCTCTGGCAGTAGGTTATCGCAGAAGGACTTAAAATTCCTCGTTGTGCTCATTCTACTGTTTTACTCAGCTCCAAAATTGCAGTTTTTGGTGGAATAGGAAGTGAACGATATCTTGAACCTGATGTAGGTTTTATTGAAACCGATTAATAATAAGTTTTATCTCGCATCACTAAAGATAGAATTATGCAAGATAATACTCCTACTATTGAAGAACCATCTAAATAGGAATATTCTCTAAGAAAAAAAAGATCAATTTTTTATGAAGAATCTGATGTCTCAGATGGATACAAACCTTTTAAAATAACACTTCGAAAAACTACCTAACTCAGAAGATCATACCTTCCAAATCCATAAAGAAAACAAGTATTAATACGCTATGATATTATGATTGGATTTGTTAAAAAAGTCATCCATGACAATCTACACATACTCTAAAATTTTGATAAATATTTAGAAAGAAAATTGATCTGATTATTATCATATTAATAATAATTGTTTTCTTTAATCCAATGGTGATGATAATGAACTGTATGATTTACTTGCTAATTTGAAGTTGCTATGACCAATTCTTATATTCAAGCGGCTGAAACTTCTAGGAGTTATTTTTGTTTGTTTAGAGTCTCCATTTTCTGAGTAAGTACATGCTATTTCGAGAAGGTTCTGCTTAAGTCTGCTAGGATCTTTGATAAGTTCTTGAATTTGAGGATCCCATTAAACAATCATATCTACTTCATTAAATTTTACTACATACCTTTAATTCTACCTTTCTAGTAATGAGTTATCTCATTTTGTTTATGCATGCAATAAACTATATAAAACAGTTTTCCCTAAATTGTTTCGAATTTCTCCATTTAATTTTAATGACTAATATTTGGAATAAAAATGAAATAATCACTCCTATGTCTGAGTACAATTTACTCTATGTATACACCTTATTTAATCGTAGTAATATAACAAGCATGTGAATCAAGTCTAAAATATCAAAGAATAGCCAATGAATGTAGAGAAACCATTTCATAAGAAAAAGCTCAAACCATCTACATCCAAAAAATTACTTGAAATCAATCATCCAGAAAATACTGAAAATAAAATATTGGTGTAAAAAATCTTAACAATTAATAACCAACCTTCAGCCTATGCTTTAAATGATGATCTACCTATTAAACCATCTAATTTAGGTTAGAAAATATTAGAAATGAGAAAATTAATTGAAGATAATGAAGTATTAAATTAAAATAACTTTAAGGGAATTGAAAAGAGAATTAAATAGACAAACAGTGTTATCAATTTTGATAAAATAAAATAAGAATACAAGAAAAATAAAATATATTTAAAGAATCTTACTGCATGTTCTCGACGCATCTATAATTGTTTTGTTCCAAGAGCTCAAGTTCCGGTAGAAGTTAAAAAGAAAAAGAAAGTTAATGAAAAAAAATAGCAGTTATAAGATTTAAAACGATTGCAATAACAATAACCTGAAGATGATAAAGAGAAAAAGCATGTTTAATAAATTGAGGAATCAAATGTTAATGAAGTTTAGCAAATGAAAAGCAAATCAAACTTAGATCAAGATAAATTAATATATTAACTTAATGAATTAAAATTAAAAGAAGACTGTTCAGAACAATCAGAGGATGATTGATCAATTATTTAATAAACTAGAAGTTAAGAATTCATTGAATTGTTCTGCATAATTTGGTTATTGCAATTAATCCTCTTCTATTACACTTTCAATAGTATTTGTACTGCATCCCTTTACTGAATCGTTTGCATCTATACTACAAGATTGAGAACAATAATAATTATCGTAAACGACGCAGCCATCATTCTTGTAAAATTTCTTGTTGCATTTTGAACATTTGATCATATATTCTTAATTAAATTAAATCAGACATTATTAGCTACAAAAATTCCTTCCATTACAATTAATTTCTGTATCGTCAAAAATTTTATAACACAACCAACATGCTAATTTTGCTTAATTACATTATACTCCACTTACTGAAACACTTACTCTACTTTAGCAGAAGCTGTCTTCTTGCATTTATTGTAGATTTTCAGGGATTTCTTTTAAAGCCCTCATTATTTTAATTTAATGGCCTGGTAGTATGCCCATTTCTCTTAACTATTACACAGTGATATTCTCTCTAAATAAGAAATTAAAAATACTTAAACTTTGAATTGTGTAATTTTAAAATTTTTCTTTATATTGCAACAATCCTACTTAGGTAAAAAATATTTCAATATCTTTGTCTATTGCTGGTGTTTTAATAGATTTTTCTAAAGGTTGTAATTTAGCAGAGGTTGGTCTGATAGCGGTCGTAATTGTTTTTTTTTCAAAACTATTTTTTTTTTGGAGTAAATTTTGAGTGTAATTTCTTAAACCTTTATCAATTTTAGCTGCTTTCCATCTGGTGCCATTTTGTCCTGTCGGTTTTTCAGATTCCCTTTTAACTTTTTCTTATTGCATAATAATTTTAAGTTGCTATAATTGCTCTTCCTAAAGTAGTGGTTAGAAGGATAATTACCATGTGTTTAGTTTCTTTCTCCAAAAGTTGAGTATTTTATGTTAACTAACTTGGTTTTTTTTTATTTGAGATACTTCTTAACTACATTAATTATAATTATTAGTTTAGGATATTTAAGCAATAAAATTTATGGCATGGATATATAAATAAAAATAAGAAAAAAATCTTTTTATCAAAAATGTCACAAAGACCACCTGCCCCATCAAGTAAAAATAATGATTTCTATATTTTAAGATCAACCTCCTTAACAACCATAAGCACCATAATATGCACCATAATTTGCTCCATAATATGCTCCTGCACCATCATATGCCCCTGCACCATAATTTGCTCCATAATATGCCCCAGCACCATAATTTGCTCCATAATACGCCCCTGCACCATTAGCCACATATCCAGCTTAATTAGCTCCAACTACATATGCCCCTTCATATGCTCCTGTTGCTCCATTAACATACAGTGTTGCTAGACCAGCTGCTCCAGTTGTTGCTTAACCAATGGTTGCTTAACCAGTTGTATAAGCCCCAGTTTTACAATAATCAGTTATTGCCTAACCAGTCGTTTAACAATCAGTTCATGTAAAAAAAAAATTCAAATTTAAATTAGGCAACAATCAAAGGAGAATCCAGAATTGAATATGTTCCTTACTAAAAAGCTGTTATGGAATATGAAGAATAAGAAGTCGTTTAATATGTCCCAAGAGAAAGAAAGGTGACAGATTATTATGCAGTCGAATATTAAACAGAATACGTCCCATAAGTATTTTAAGAAAAATACACAGGTATTCTCTTATCATTATAAATTATTAGAATACGTCCCAGTCGACAGATATTAAGAAAGAGTTGAATACTATCCAGTTGAAAGATAAGTCGTTCATGTACTTTTTCCATTTATTCATTTATAGTAATAAGTTGTTTAACAACCAGTCGTTTAATAAGTTGTTTAATAACCAGTTGTATAATAAGTGGTCTAATAACCAGTTGTTTAAACTGTTGCACCATAACCAGTTGTTTAATAATTTGTACAATAACCAGTCAGTGTTGTTTAACCAGTATAAACATATCCAGTCTAATATGCTCCTCCTCAAATCGTTTCATCAAGAGTGATTCCTTCTTATCCAACATATCCATAATCATATCCTTAATATTAACCTGCACCATAATAATAATAAGTTTAATAATAACCCCCAAGATCAAATTTGAACAATAACATATGATAAATAATAAGTACATCATAAAAAAATAATTTTGTTTATTTGTTTTTTTATTTTTTAAGTTATGTTATGTTATGTACTAATGTATATTATCATCAATCATATTCTTTTTAATTGGTCAGGATTGGGCACTAATTAATTCTATAGGAAAGTATAACTCATGCAATTATTTCTGATCCATTCTTTCAATCTTTCTCTTTCTACAATATTAGATTCTAATGCCCTAATATGATCATTATATCTATCATTAGTCAAAATTAATCCTCCCTTCTCCCTTGCGAATTGAATCATGTAGGAGTCATCATAATTCCAGCTTGGAACTCCATAAGCATACCCTTTGTTTTTCATCTCCAATAGCAACTTGACATCATCAGGCAATTTGTTGATATTGTTTTTCTAAATAATATTTGTCAACAATTACATTAGATTCTTTCTTCTTGTTTATTTCACTTTCATTAAAACAAAAATCAGGTAAGATAATCATTACTTCATGTCCTTTCTTTACCCAAAATTCTAGAGCACATTTCAAACCCTGAGAACAAAACTTTGCAACTTAGGATTATTCTTATCCATATCTCATAGCCACATTCATTCCATCAATTATTATAAGTTTCTTAATCGATTCCTTGGGAATGTCTTCTTCCCACTTTGGTTCCTTTGCACCCTAAATTTCAATGCCATGCAATTATTATATTATTTATTCACAAACATAAAATAATATAATTGATGTCTGACTGTCTTCATCTTTATAAATTGATGATTATTGTTTGAATGTCTATAGAACATGGGTATAACAAATAAATCCAACTAAAGGCACTTCAAAAGGAAACAAAAAAGTGTGAAATTACTCATTCAATTAAGATTAAAATTAAAATAAGTCATTACTCTGGTTCTCTACCTAATATAAGTTCTATCTTGAATATAAAAAAATCTATGCTAATTTATCATTTAAAGAAGGAAATTCTGATAACAAATATGTACAAATCAAGGGTTAATCATATAAGTAGTAGATGATTGGGATGACCAACTATAAAAAGGTGACTGGAGGCACCTGATCTAAATTCTTCATAGAATTCTATAGTAGGTATTTTAATATAAAATCAAGTGAGTTTACATATAATCCATATACATATTTAATTGATTCTCTCACTAAATCGTTATCTTTAATGTCTTACACTGTCTTCAATTAGAATGTATTTAGACAATGATGCAAACCGAAATTTGTCATCATTATTACTTTTAAAAGCAATTAATATTGCTATTTATGATCGCTATGAACATTTGTCTTAACAATTTTAAAATATTCCTACAAATGTTAAAACATATTAGCCAATTAAGGTAATTCTTCAAAACCAATTTTAGTGAACTATATTATTTCTAAATTCATACAACAATCGTATTGAATCTTATTAAATACACCATAAAAGCTCTTAAATATGTATCACGATCTAATTCACTTGCTGGCTTAATATGCCTAGCCCAATCATTATAGTGAGTTCTATTTATTTCAAAAACTTCATTCATATTTTCTTTGCAGTTGTAAGGTATTTATGCAAAATGAGCCTTTTATAAACAACATGCTGCATTAAAAGTATCTTAAAATTATCTCATTAATGTAGCTATTAGAAAGTAATATTTCCCTTAAAAGGGATAAATTGATATAGCCTTATTATAGAATAAATCAGCAAATTTATAATTATCTTTTGGTTATTTATTCATCTTCTCTAATCTTCTACCTAGATGTTCATGTAATTCCCCTGCATAGCAGTATAAATTAGCTAAAAATTATCTGAATTCATTATCATTATTCAAATCCCCTAATTAATTTTATTAGGTCAAATTTTTGATAACGGATTTCAAGAAGTTTACACGAAGTTCGTAAAATGACTTAATTTCTTCATCGACATCAGGGGATATGCTATTGAATTCGATATCAATTTATTTCTTAATAATTTGCCACACCCTCTTATCAATTTACTTAAGTTATTTTTCCAACTCTTACTTTAGCAATAACGAAATTGATTCCAGATAAGATTAACTCTGTAGTTGCTTGAAAAAATTGTTTTGTGTCATCACAATTCAATTCGTGAAGTGCAAAGACAACTGAAGGCTTTTCTTTATTTCTACTGTTTAGAATAACAATACTTCAATTTATCTAATAACTCTTTGAATTTCTTATATAAACTACTCTGTGTTTCAACATTCATAAATAAATAATTTTATAAACAATTATGATAAGTTAATCAGAACTTTAGAATGAAATTAAACAATTCATAAAAGAATCAAATTGGAACTAAGTAGTGCAAGAATAAATTAGTTAATTTGAAGCTTTCTTGCTTACTAATCCTTGGCTATTTGTATATGAATAGCCAACTAATTTAGCGCATTATCTCTATTTTTTAACTACAAATAATCAATCTAAACAATAATTATAATCTATGCTCTATTAACTTTTAGTTGAATAATGCCAATTAACTAAAATCAAAAGATCATATTTGATAACTAGTTTCACTTTATTATTTATCCCTCACAATCTGGCAATTTTATAAAAATATAAATGAGATTGACTCATAAGAAATTGAATTTCTTGATTATAATAAATGTATTGAAAAAAAGCATCGCCATAGTTAAGGGAATTCCAAGTGCCTATCGCAAACTTTCTAGAAATAAATTGTTTGTAGTGATGAAAAGGTTTTGAGTAGATCAAATAAAATAACCTTATAAATCTTTTGAAATTTACATCAGCAACTCAACTGTATAATTACAGATTTTTTATAACTAATTAAAAAAATAAATTTAGCAAAGCAAAAAAACAACTAATTAATTAAATGATGAGTCTACATAGTTGAAAATTACGATGAAATTTTAACAATAGACAAGGCTGTCTAAATAATTATTTGGAGTATAAGGTTGCGAGAATTGCATGAATTAGCTGAATAGATGAAGAAAGTGTGTCCTATTACTATGAATATTCTGTAATTATTTGAAACACTATTAAACAATTCAAATGAGCAATATAGTTTTGATTTATTAATTTAACTGTTAAAAAAATGATTGAATAATATAAGGTTCATGAATAAATTGGATAAGGTGAGTTTGGAAAAGTCTATAGAGCAACAAATCTTCTTACTCAATCAGTTGTTGCCATTAAAAGTGTTGATGTGGCTAAATTTAATGAAACACCAAAATTACTCGAATTAAGCATGCAAGAGATAGAGGTACTCTAAAAACTTTAACATTGTTAATATGTTGTTAAGTTCATTGAATTAATTAAAACCTCTCATCAATATCATTTCGTATATGAATATTGTTCAGGTGGTCCTCTTGACAAATTGTTATTGTTATAAGGACATTTTACAGAAAG